GGATTTCGTTTTGATAGCATTGGTAGTACAACTACTGAAATTTAAAGCAGTACATTTTGTATGCCAGCACTAGAATTTTAAAGAATATGGCTGCTTTCCGTAGCCTCATAGTTTCATAATATAATACATGCACAGTGTCACCGACTGATATAGGAAGCGTCTGTTTCTGCACAAGAGATGGTTGTTCACTAAGTGTTAGGAAACTCGCGCTATAAATGTAGTCCGTATAGTGCCAACGAATAATTCTGGCTCAGTATTTTGAGCTGTCATGAAACACACACATGGTCTTCAGCTCGATCTCGTACTGAGGGTTCTTCCGGTTTTCCATCTCTTTGGGATAAACAACTTGATACTAGGCTTTGCTGGGTGGATAGTAGCATTGAATTGATAGATTGGTGGGTTATTGCCTTTCGTTCTAAATGCCAGAATATGCATTCAATCACCTTCATGTGTTTGATGAACACGAATACTTGATGCATTCGTCAGAATTTGATCAACGTCGTAAGATTTATGCTTATAAACCATGACGCGCAAAGAAAACGTCGGGTGTAAATTCACAGTTATTTTTTCTGTACTTTTTAGAAGGTCGCCTTGCTTAATGTCATAAGATAGCTTTGATTGTAAAAAGCGACCGTCCGTATATAAACGCTTTTCTCAGGTATAAAACCTTTCGAACCGTCTAGAAGTTGTAAGTGAACTTGCTAGCGCTTCTTTGGTTCACGGCATTACTTCGACTCATTTCTGCTGCGATATGTCTAGATGTGGCTCCATGTCGTGTGTGGATTCTTCCACTTTACCACTCGCTTCCTTGTTTTGCAACCATAATCCACAAAGATGATAATAACTTGTTTTTTGTAGGTGCGAGTGTAGAATGGCGGCAGAAAAATAAACTTCAGTCAGAACAAAGTTGATTTACTCTTGCTTATAAGCACGTTAGCTCATCTTCTTTTTAGTCTGCCTTAAATTCATATTGACTTTCTTGGGCCCTTGCTTTGGTTCACGTATCGATTATCTTCTTCGTAAGATGATCATAAAATTTCTCAGGGTGTATTCCGCTAGTTCTGACTGTTGAAACTCAAATTAACGTTCAAATGAAAAACAATGTAATTTTAACCAAGGCAAAAAGATAACAGAACGCCAACACTAAACAAGCTCCTTTTACTGTTGACAAGTATGCAGAACTAGCTAATTTGCGTCGTTTGAACTCTCACGTCTAGCAATCATGGATTTGTACAAAAATGTTAGATTACAAGAGAGTGTTGAACTGTAATTAGCAGCCACAAGAGTCGGACGCACTGGTCAGTGCACCCAACATATTGCTATAGAACCATCTTACCTGTGATAAATGTGATAAACACCCACATTGCTGAGTGGTAACCTTCTTATTATCTCCATAAGTGTTCAGCAGAATCAAAAATAAATTCAAGGTCATAGACTGATGAGACTTTCCAAACGTACGTGTATAAGCGAAAGCAGGCATTTCAGATCCAATAAATATCGACAATTTCAATGATAGTCGAGAGAGTTCACCTTAATCGACATATAGGTCGTATTTCAACATCATCACTCGTAGCGACTCATATTGATCGGATCGGGCGAAGGAATTCTACCTAGCCAGTAAGCTTTTTTTTTTAGGATCGCGGCGATTTCCATGATGGCGGTATCATTTTGGTTAAGCATCCAGTTGAGAAAAACGTAATTAGACGAATCCAACTCTTGCCTTTACAGTACGATACGATCGTACTTGGATGACGTTCGTTGATAACTAGTAAAGCGATAGACCCACGGACGACGTGAGGCCAAAAGTTGGTTAAACGTGATAAAAACCATAGTTTCAGCTTATAACAGTCATAAATCGACTGTGTCCAAATTTGAAGTTCTTACCCTCAAGCACAAGTATTTTGAATCATGAAATTTTGTTTGAAAGGTACAAATTTTGTTATCATATAGAAGCAATATTCTAGTATCTCGCCCACTTGCTCCTGTTTCTTCTCTAATTTTGCAGTTCAAATCGGAGATTATTTGCGACAACGATCTGCGTCCGACAGGTCACGATAATGCCCTCGAATGCGTGCCTCATTTTCTTTGATGACTTGCTTTGAACCTCGATTTTTGCTTTCAGTCTTTTAATGCTGTGAAAATTAGAGAATCAAAATGGCAATTCGACTTCTTAGTTCGACTAGAGTCTCGCTCTTCATCCACATGTTGGCGTAATAACACATTACCTATGTAAAGTTTAGTTATGAACGATCGCACTACGACTTGGTTCGTTACGTCATATGTCTCTGAATCTTTATTCGTATATTCCAATGGGTATTGATGCAATATTACGTAATTATTATTCATTATAGGTTGTTTTCTCGTGCTATAAATCAAGTAATCCACTGGCAGGCACTCTATTCCACACATCTACACTGAACACATCAACGATTGAACATTCGATATTCGAGTAGCTACAGTTTTGGGACATCGACCTCCGCACTGAACTACTAGTCGCTACGAGAAGGAGGGACATGAACTGTTAGGCCTCCAGAGCCACCTACACGTAATCTTATTGAAGTTATTCGTAGAGGTGAGAACTGGACGAGGTAGTGGAAATTATCTTAAGAGCATAGTGGACTAAAAGAGTAAGTAGGGCACGTAAAATTGCAAAAATTGCAGCATTGAATAATGTTCATAGCTAAGACCGATTTGAAAAATCTCAAGCTAGGCCGTTGGAGCGGCATTGTATAATAATCTGCAAAATCGTTTTTACCAAACAAGCCTTGTTTTAAGGTTGTTGTCGCATAATCTTCCCATTTCCTTTGAGTTATTCCTCTGGCTGCTTTCCAAAAACTGGTTGTCCACTTTTTCTCACTCTCGGCTTTCCCACGGTCTCAGTCAGCTAATGTAACAGCAGCTTCTTACATCATACGAATGAAGGAGCTCGTGGGGATGCAAACGCAGGAAGCACGACATTCTCGCACCACGGACACGGATCGCCGCCTTCTAGGAGTGCCGCGTAAACGAGTGCGCGACGCAGCCTGTCTATAAACGCTGCTCCTCACAAAATAAGGCAGATTCATTCAGTCTAACATTTGCAGAACTTTTGACGGTTTTGCCTTCATCCTTAACTGAAACAGTCACATTGACATGACTTGCGATCTGCTCATTCCAACACTTGCGTAACCCAAGCTGATAGAACGGACTATGTAAATGCTAAATTGCACAGTAAAACAGCATCTCTTTGACCCTCACCGTTTATGTTATCTCAAGGTTGTCTAGTTGATATTAGAGCCTAGCCGCACAAAGTCTTATATGGATAAGGAGTGTGTCTGGTTTATATTAAAATATAAATTTCAGATAGACGCAAAGTCACGCGTGATGACAGGGTACTCGCCCTTGCAGTCTTCTTTCGATTTTTGACATAAATCCAATGCTTTACGAGAGTATGACGGACTGAAGTAATATATTCGCATCTAGGGATGGTGAATTTTACTTGAAAATCTACTCCACTACGTGTCTGCATCCAGAGCATTCCTTGTGTGGTATGCGGTTCAATTTTATGTTTATACTCTATGTGATCTTTCATACGTCCGAAGTGGTCTATCCATTTCGTCATGCATTCGTCCCAGCACGCTCTAAAAGAGACTAGCCCCGTTTGTTACGATGTCGGTCATATATAATCCGTTGATCGCCCGCGGCGCGACCGAGACTTTTTATTGGTACATGCCTCATTAGATACCTGCTACTTGTATGATTAAATGTAGGTTTCAAACTTCACATCGAGCTTTATTTGCAGTAATAGAGTATGGTTAAGATGGTGAAGCCTCCATCGGAATGGAGATATGGCATTTTACTAAGCCAATCTTTACAAAGATATCTCTAGCGAGAAAAATTTCCATGCGTATTAGCAGTCCGTACACTTCTTTAGAAAAACGACAGCACAAAGGCCAGCATGTGCGGCAAACATATTGTTTCCCATATTATTTCGTCACCGACCTCATATCGAGCAGGATTTCACAGTCCTTATTGCGGGCATAAGAAAACCACTCTGTTAAGGTCTGACCGTTCTTGCACAAAACTCTTGGTGCTATAAGTGGAAGAGGACGCCAATTAGAAACAGTTGGACACACCAAAGGGTTTCAGGCGCACTGGAGATCTTCCAAGATAACTTGTACCTGGTCACATCAAAATCATTTGAAGAGGTGGAAAATAGACAAGGTAGGGTAGAAGAAAGCTTGAAAACATTCAATCAAGAAGAAAGAGGCAGAGGACGTACAATCAGCGTATAGATGCAATGTCAAAGGTTGCGACGATGGGAAAAATATTATTTGTAAAGTATAAGGTAATTCTAAAGGTTAGTACCTTTGAGACATATAAACAAAGTTTCTTCTCTCACCTACTCGCTGAATTCAAAACTAGCCAAATATCCCGCTGGATGCGCAAGACGCAGAGAGACAACGCAAAAGATCTCATCAAATTTCGATCTGGGGCGGACACATTTATGTAGTATGTAAGATTCTGTGAGACTTGTCTCCAATGTATAATTGGATGACTTCAAATAATAAAACAGTGAGTTTCAAATATACCTGAAAGTCTTGAATGATGGGCAAAATCTTAAGCTCAGACGGGAATTGAGCCTGCGTTACACTCATGCTGGGTACGCGTGCCAATACTACACCACCAATACACCGTTTCGCTACCACTCATTCATCAGTGTCTTCACCATAGCTATCAGCCACCAACCTATAACACGTTTGGACCTGTAAGCAATATCGTGCTATGACCCCAGTTGAGCTGACAGCCATGGTGTATGTAATACTCAATATTCTCATATTTACTGCTTTCTCGCAGAGTTATGATGCTTCATGTGATATGATATAATCTATTACATATCACAATGGTTGTCAGCTTATGTGGCTTTATAAAGCAATATTGCTCACTCGAGCAAACTTGATATAGGTTAGTGGCTGGCAGCTATGATAGAGACATTAAAAAAAGAGTAGTAGCGAAACGATGTTTTGGTGGTGTAGTGGTAGCACGCGGCCGCGGTATGGCTGAAACACGGGTTCAACTCTCGTCTGAGGTTGAATTTTGCTTAACACTCAGTTCTTTTAAGTGCATTTGAGACATTATAGCACTGCGGAAAAGGCAATTGAAACATAAAAAATCTTGTGTATTTAATCGCTATTATTCCATGACTTTTCGAGATAGACAATCAATAGAGAAAAGATAGATTTCGAGATTGCATAGCTCATGAAATCACCATTTAACCCATCTCTTCTCAGTGAATGTTATCATCACTGAACGCTCATCATTGCATGATAGGTTTATTGTAAGCTCGTGTTAAGTAATTTAACAAAGAACTCTATTTTGAGATAAGTCAGCTAAATTCTTTTGTTAGGAACAAATTCTGCGAGAAATAAGCTATTTGAGTCCTCTTTGATTAATCATCATTTCATCTTAGTGAACAGCTTTCTCCAGCTGTCGAATTTCAATGTTCAGTCAGAGGTATTTCTGCGTTTTGCCGTCCACACTGCCTTGGCTTCATAGTTTATTCAACAACAGTAGAATATTGTCTCAAAATGAACAGTATAGCAAAAGTTTTTTGTGAATTATCTAATACCCTAAAAACAAATTCGAAATTTTAGAGCAGTTATTTGAAAATAACTTCACACACGAGTATTACACAAGATCCCTACTGGATAAGTTACGTAACAATTATAAAATTTTGACAAAACATCTGTGTAACATAATAAGAAAGAAACGCTTTTTGCTCAACCCATTCTGCCCACGTTACGTTGTCTATTATTTGAAAAATGCATCAATATTATTCAGGTAGCCTCAATGTCCTTGGTATCATTTTGGTTTTTGAAAGAAAAACTTCTTTCAAGAATATATGGATAACAAGTTGATAGAGGCAATTAATTAAGTTCTTTATTTAGAAGTTTTATCAACAAAACAATGAATTTTGTATTCCAAAGTATTTTTGCCCACCACTCAATTCTTTCATGGGCGCTGCAAAAATGCAGTAAAAACGCTAGAAAGCGAATGGTGATCAAATACAATCATTAATGGCTTCTTCTTATCTTGAAGCTCCATTTCATGTTTTTTTTGTCATCCTGGGCAGATATTGTCTTTTGGGATTTGCACACTTTCTAAATTTTGCAACTTCGGTTGGCAGAAATTTTCGTACTATTTGAATCATGTAATTAATGGTTTTCTGTGTAAGCGTTTTTCAGAGTTCAATCATATTTTGAAACAACATCGCTGTATCAGCTAGTTATCTCAGTTGATGTGTTGATGGGTCTTTCACTCATCACATGTATGATGTCTGGCATTCTTATAATTAAAGCTGCTTTTTTATATGTAACTCAATAAATAGATAGAAACAGCATTGCTTACATCGTTTCATGTGTACATTATACAGGGAAGTTGAACTGTGGACGACTAAATTTTTTTTCATTCTTTTGGCCTACTGCGTTGGCTGCACTATGCTGCTCATATTTCAACGCTGTGGTAGATAAGAAACCATTCACGGCGTGATAAATAAGGAAATTGTGAACGCCCTCATAAATGAAGTTAGAAGAGAGACAGATAGATGACAGACAAATGCGTTGTAGCGTAGAAAGAGTGGTGGAAAAGCAGGCAATGGTAGTGCAAGTGATGGAGCACGCGCCCCCGGATAGGGTGAAAAGCGAGTTCAAGTCTCGCCTGACGCAAAAGTTTTGCACATCACTCTACGTTATTGCTTATAACATCATATCACTGCTAGAATCGGTCAGATATAAAGCATTATGTACGGTCAACCAAAAGACAGAGTTCGTAATAAGTCATCACTTCTTGCCTCCATGTCTGAGCGTAACATTATTTATGAACGAAACATTCTTGACAGTAAACATACTTCAACCCTGAACTCATGCCCATACCTTGTAGTTCATAGGCGTTATTATCGCCGCTCTAAGAAATTCGAGCCGATCGCGTTAGACTCTTCAAAATTGAGCAATGTCATTGGGATTTTGCGTTGTAAAAAAAGGTGCCCGAAATTATCGGCTGCTTGAACCTGCATTTCATGAGTGGTCTTCAGGCTTTTTACTCACACACATCACCCGTTCCTTCTACACAGACTTTTCTATCGATTAGTCTCTATTTGACCTCACTATGCGGTTTTCTAAGTTCAACAATCCAATATCCAATACATGTTTATTTCATATAAAGTCGACTCACATGCAGACCAAGCAATCAGACGCATACCTGGGGATATGTTAACAGCAAACGACAAGCGACTTAACCAGGTAATCCACCCACTCCGAGACAAACGCAACAATATGCGATGTTCTTACATTCACAGATTATAACAATTGTTTCCCTGTTCCATTTAGCATACTCTCCTTTCTCATGACCTTTTGGTAATCTCGCTAATTTCCTATACTTATAAAGCCCATAGCTTATTTCTATATTCATCATGCAAAGTAGTATTAAAGTACTAGGCTATCGTTGAATTTCGTGATTTCCTTAGATAGGGGGATCCTACTATTATTCTTCTAAATTTTTTCAATTACGTAGTAAACTTGCACGTTAAACTACGAATTCATTACAGCATTACTTTCAGTTGTACTTTTCGTGCAAGTTGATGAATTGGCCCGATGTTACAGATTTTACACATTAATCACGGTTTTTTGTATAATTTTGTCTGTACTTACATATGACCTCGGTGCTGATGTTACGATTATTGATATTCAAGTTTGGGAACTGCCGGTCAGTACAATCTCAAGTAATTCCATCATCTGGCTCGCGGCGACTCATTGTTCGGCGTCGATTCCTTCATAGAGGAGTATAGTCTCAAGCGATCGGCTGAACCGAGGACGGTGCTACTGATGAGTTCCGGTAGGACGAAAAAGGCGCCTATATAGCACTTACACCTCAATAACTGGCTAATAGCTCAAAACTGGCATTTACTTATCAGATTGTACACGTTTACTAACCTAAGTTTGAGCTGTACGTCTTCAATAAGCAGCTTTCGCTAGAGCTTAAGATTCAGCACACATGATCATTGTTTGATTCATAGCGACCGCACGGTAACGGCTCAACTACTATGCGCATGCTTTTTGATGAATAGTCTCAACGTAAGCCTCTGTTTTGATCGCGTCAATCTCCGTACTGTATCTTTGAATTTTCCCACTAATGCTTCTACATTTCGTAATTTTTGTTTATCCGACTGTTATTTCTTCAAATCGATTAATTAACAAATTAACTATCACATGATTAGCAAACTCAAACTATTTGTTGGGCAAAGATTGGATGCCTTCGTGTGAGAAAAAGGTGAAGCTAGTTATAAAAGAAGTTGGATAGATCACTTTCGAGCTAGCTATAGACCCTGGATTTTCGCTTTCATAGATACTGCTTCAGGGCGTGGAATCGATGATAGTCCGATGTACCAATTTCAGGGCTATATGGTGCACAGTGGTCTAGCCCGATTTATCCAAAATGTGGCGACTTGATACTGCAATGTGAGAAGGTCGTTAAATGGGTGAGGTGTCCATCAGACATCAGGTAGTAAAAGTTATAAAATTTTGGATTAGAAAGTAAACTATATAAACCAGTAATACGATAGCAACTGAGACAAACCAGTAAATTCTCTAAAAGTAAGTGTGAAAAATATAACATTTGAATGTGCTTTGTGTACATTTATGAGCTACCATGGTTTATTATCTGTCATCAGACATGCAAGACTTGCGTAACATTGCCTGCACGACATGCGACGACGCCTCCTGCAACGATAAAGCGATAAAACTATTACATTGACAGTGGCATTCACAGAAGACTAGAGAAGACTGTGAACAGAAATTGAGTACCCTATCGATCTGCTCGTGTGAAGGAGTCAATCTTCATCGAATCACTTACAGATCTCGAATTCCATCCTTCATCACCTTCACTGCCTACCACCAGATTGATCACTTTGCCATATGAGGACAGTTTCAAAAGATAGTTATCCTCGTGATCGTTGAAAGTCAGAACCAGACTAGTCACGCCATTCACTAATAGCTAGAAATGTAAGCACATTTATGTGAGAATAAAAATTATCGTACATAACGGCAGTACTATATTTTACGTTCGAATAGCTTAAGTATGCAGAATTGTGTGATTCTTCGTAGCCTTGCGAATCAAATCTGTTTCATATGGAACATATTGAGAAGCGGAAAACGCTTAAAACATGGAAAAAATGCTACTAAGAGTATGAAAGCTTTCACATCACAGTGCAAGAGAAATGGCAATTTCCGCATTTCAGTTTTTTGCCTATGCGTCGACACATGTAGTTCAAATTGAACACGCTGTTGATTAGATTTATTTGGTAGATATTATCATTTGTTCCACTATGCCTCGTCTATCAGAAAAACGTGGCCATCAACTTCCAATACGGCATCTTGGTAGAAAAAATCTAGGGAGCGTTAATTTGATTCGAAACACTCACTTTAGTATGCTCGCTTATCGCATCCTGAATATCAGAGGGACTACCCCAAAGTATCATCACCACCAGTTTTTGGTCAGACGCTATACCCTGTAAGAGAGAAATAACGCGGATAGTCTGAGTGTATTCCCAGTGAATTCACATGCCTCGAAGAAGTTATACACCTCCAACAAAGCCGGCGCAAGATGTGCTTTTTCTCCATAAGAGAATACGAGATCATCTTTGCTAAAAATATGCAAATGGTACCAAGAGGATTGCAAACAATAAATTATAAGCTGTGTCTATACATAGTGGTAAAGTTTAGGTCTCTTGAAACACTTACAAAAAATCTCGGACATCTTGGACTCTTCCCTTAGGTGTTCTATAGCGACCGCTGACAACTTTGGAGCCAAACGAAAAAAAACTTAATCCTTGACTTGGTAACAAATCCTATGAAACTTATGATGCGAAGTAGATGTCCAATCTGAAGTACTAATATGTCAATTTTTAGGTACACATTAACGATTAACGGGACTAACGACGTTTTCATGAAAGTTTTTCTTGTTCCTTCCCACATGATAAACTTCTGAGCTACCAATAGCATGTTAACCAACAGTGCAGAAGTCGAAATTTGAAGTGGA